TTTGAACAGCCAAGTTTGGCAAGGATCGTGTCTAAAATAATCCGAACGATTTCCGTCCGAACCATCGCCCGCCTGAGGAGTTGTGGGCTCTAAGCTTCTCACTGCGAAGTGTGGGTTACATGGGATGGGCCCATTGTAAAATCGGACGCCAATCTCAGGCTTCAGCTCAACAGCAGCCACAGTGTCAGTTGGACAGCTGGGAGGGGACAGGGGGATGGTTCAAGAAGGATCTCTTCTTGCGTGAGTGTGTCCAAGGACCCTCCCCCCTGTTTTTGTGTCTCAGACCTGTGTTTTGCAACTTGAAATCACAAGAACCTTCCTGTGCCCGTGAAGGCGCATGTTCACTTGCCTAGTGGAGATGGCTGTTCCATGCAGTCTCACCCGCGACGCCCATCAGCAAGCAGCATTTCTTATGCCACTTGAGTTCAGCAAGGCCGGGTTGCAAGATCGCAGCTTGGCAAACTCGCGGCGACTAATCTGGCGTAATAAATTTAGTATTGCCAGCAACAATGTGAACTCCCAGAGCTGATTTTCACCACTTCCCAAAGTGTGGCTGCAATGGTCAACTCGAGGGAACGGTGACCCGAAAGACAATACCTTGGTGTCATTTAAGTTGGGTCTTGCGATCTTCCGGTGACATTATACGGTGACACCTGCTTCCAATATTCTGACGCATCCTTTGTCGTACTCGGAAGGGGTTGTGGCAGCCAATATGCATCACTGCCAATCATTGCCTTGTTGGTGAGCTGTGGCCTTGTGAAAGGGGGACTGATCCAGCAATTTTGGCCCCTTCCTTGCAGGGTACCTTGTCCAATAGTTTTGAACACCTGGCGTATCAAACCACAAACCATGAGGTCCATGACTTTGGCCAAGCTGAGGGTAAAGGAAGCCGTTAGTCAAATTTCCTGCGCCACACGCAGCGATCATGTCTACTGCTGCCTGCGGGTTTTGGTCAAAATTCAGGCACTCCTTTCGACCTGAAGCCAACTGTTTGAGGGGAGCTGCGGGCAGTTCCGGATTCAGCTGTGAGCCAATAAGCTATGATGGCAAGTCGGGTCTTGTTGTGGTGCCGCAGGCTGAGCAGCGAACTGAGAGGTCAGACGCTTGCAACCAGCGCCTGGGCGATAAGAAGAGGCGCCTTTGCAACGTTTTTGCATATTGGTATGCGTGTTTTGTTGAGGGTACCCTTTTCACCTTGGCTTTAAAGGGAAACCAAAAGGAAAATTACAATTTGTGGCGTCCGCCTATTTTGACACATACCCATATGTTGTATCCTACTCGTTTGTTCTCTGTGGAAGCCCTCAAATGCACCAATGTACATTCACGGTGATTAAGCCGTCGCAGCAAGGTTTGTTGGCCACCTAGAGAGCTGAAATGCAAACCCAAGCGGCAAATTTCCAGCACCACTTCCTGGTGCTGAAACCAGGGATGGCTCAGGGCTTGGGGCGCCTGTGGTATGCATCATGGAAAATTGTTGCCCAGCCGTTGGGGAAACAGAGAAAGGGGTACAAGCCCACGCTATGCAGCTTACCGAGCACGGGTGCGAAATTCGGGTTCCCCAACGTAGCAGCGATGGGCTAACAAGAAGTTTGGCGAGAAGTACGGCAGTCCAGTTTCTCTCCCCCCCCCCCCACATATTCTAAGTGCCCTGTTTTGTTGCGGCCAAGTCGAATCGATGTCACTTGACTTGTCACTGGTAGGCATGTGCAACAAGGAGTCCTCATCAGTCACCTATGGTTTCCCATGCGATCAAGGCCTGCTTTGAATGGCTGATGCTATAGTTGATTGAAGCATAGTATCCGTTGGCCCGCTGGTAGAGGCCCACGTGAAGACTGCCCTGAGGATCTCTCACCTCCTTCGAGTTCACGCACGCTGAGGGTCAAACACCCCCAGACCTCGATGGATCCCCGGACTTCAACGCTGTCGGTGCCGCTGGAGGCTGGTGGCTGAATGATTGATAGGTCGCTTCGGGCACACAGTTGAGCGACGCGGCACCCAAGTTGGGACAGGCCATTCCCTGCTGACAGATTAAGCCACCGAAGGTAACTTTGTGCTTTGACACACGGCCTCGTTTTCTTTGATCTGCCGCAATGTGGGATGGCCATTGTGCATTGAAACCGCAAAATCATTCAATCACCCTCCCATGTGGCGGTTTCTAAATTGGGGACCACGCACGTGCAATTGGAGGGGTTTTCGTGGCAGGCGAACTGTTTGAGGGGAGCTGTGGGCAGTTCCGGATTTAGCTGTGAGCCAATAAGCTATGATGGCAAGTCGGGTCTTGTTGTGGCGCCGCAGGCTGAGCAGCGACCTGAGAGGTCAGACGCTTGCAACCAGCGCCTGGGCAGGGAGAAGAAGAGGCTCCTTTGCAACGTTTTTGCATATTGGTATGCGTGTTTTGTTGAGGGTACCCTTTTCACCTTGGCTTCAAAGGGAAACCAAAAGGACAATTACAATTTGTGGCGTCCGACTATTTTGACACATACCCATATGTTGTATCCTACTCGTTTGTTCTGTGGGGAAGCCCTCAAATGCACCAATGGACATTCACGGTGATTAAGCCGTCGCAGCAAGGTTTGTTGGCCACCTAGAGAGCTGAAATGCAAACCCAAGCGGCAAATTTCCAGCACCACTTCCTGGTGCTGAAACCAGGGATGGCTCAGGGCTTGGGGCGCCTGTGGTATGCATCATGGAAAATTGTTGCCCAGCCGTTGGGGAAACAGAGAAAGGGGTACAAGCCCACGCTATGCAGCTTACCGAGCACGGGTGCGAAATTCGGGTTCCCCAACGTAGCAGCGATGGGCTAACAAGAAGTTTGGCGAGAAGTACGGCAGTCCAGTTTCTCTCCCCCCCCCCCACATATTCTAAGTGCCCTGTTTTGTTGCGGCCAAGTCGAATCGATGTCACTTGACTTGTCACTGGTAGGCATGTGCAACAAGGAGTCCTCATCAGTCACCTATGGTTTCCCATGCGATCAAGGCCTGCTTTGAATGGCTGATGCTATAGTTGATTGAAGCATAGTATCCGTTGGCCCGCTGGTAGAGGCCCACGTGAAGACTGCCCTGAGGATCTCTCACCTCCTTCGAGTTCACGCACGCTGAGGGTCAAATACCCCCACACCTCGATGGATCCCCGGACTTCAACGCTGTCGGTGCCCTCGGTGCCGCTGGAGGCTGGTGGCTGAATGATTGATAGGTCGCTTCGGGCACACAGTTGAGCGACGCGGCACCCAAGTTGGGACAGGCCATTCCCTGCTGACAGATTAAGCCACCGAAGGTAACTTTGTGCTTTGACACACGGCCTCGTTTTCCTTGATCTGCCGCAATGTGGGATGGCCATTGTGCATTGAAACCGCAAAATCATTCAATCACCTGAAAGCAAACAGAGGCTCCCATGTGGCGGTTTCTAAAATTGGGGACCACGCACGTGCAATTGGAGGGGTTTTCGTGGCAGGCGAGCTGCAGAGCCTCATCCGTGTGGCCGCCAGCATCCGCGGCCACAAAAAGAAGGTCCCTGGCCCGAAGCTGGTCGAGGCGCGGTTCGCGGGATGGGCAGAAAGTGGCGGGGAACGCCAAGCCGCCGCAGGAGGTCAGACCAGCGGCAGAGCACCAAATGAAGGGGACCAGCGAACAGAAGAAGCGGGACCACCGAACCCGGGTTTGGTCAAGCTGAGGGTAAAGGAAGCCGTTAGTCAATCATGTCTACTGGTGCCTGCGGGTTTTGGTCAAAATTCAGGCACTCCTTTCGACCTGAAGCCAACTGTTTGAGGGGAGCTGTGGGCAGTTCCGGATTTAGCTGTGAGCCAATAAGCTATGATGGCAAGTCGGGTCTTGTTGTGGCGCCGCAGGCTGAGCAGCGACCTGAGAGGTTAGACGCTTGCAACCAGCGCCTGGGCAGGAAGAAGAAGAGGCTCCTTTGCAACGTTTTTGCATATTGGTATGCGTGTTTTGTTGAGGGTACCCTTTTCACCTTGGCTTTAAAGGGAAACCAAAAGGACAATTACAATTTGTGGCGTCCGCCTATTTTGACACATACCCATATGTTGTATCCTACTCGTTTGTTCTGTGGGGAAGCCCTCAAATGCACCAATGTACATTCACGGTGATTAAGCCGTCGCAGCAAGGTTTGTTGGCCACCTAGAGAGCTGAAATGCAAACCCAGGCGGCAAATTTCCAGCACCACTTCCTGGTGCTGAAACCAGTGATGGCTCAGGGCTTGTGGCGCCTGTGGTGTGCATCATGGAAAATTGTTGCCCAGGTGTTGCGGAAACAGAGAAAGGGGTACAAGCCCACGCTGTGTAGCTTACCAAGTACGGGTGCGAAATTCGGGTTCCCAACGTAGCAGCGATGGGCTCACAAGAAGTTTGGCGAGAAGTACGGCAGTCCAGTTTCTCTCCCCCCCCCCCCCACATAGTCTAAGTGCCCTGTTTTGTTGCGGCCAAGTCGAATCGATGTCACTTGACTTGTCACTGGTAGGCATGTGCAACAAGGAGTCCTCATCAGTCACCTATGGTTTCCCATGCGATCAAGGCCTGCTTTGAATGGCTGATGCTATAGTTGATTGAAGCATAGTATCCGTTGGCCCGCTGGTAGAGGCCCACGTGAAGACTGCCCTGAGGATCTCTCACCTCCTTCGAGTTCACGCACGCTGAGGGTCAAACAATGCCAGACCTCGATGGATCCCCGGACTTCAACGCTGTCGGTGCCCTCGGTGCCGCTGGAGGCTGGTGGCTGAATGATTGATAGGTCGCTTCGGGCACACAGTTGAGCGACGCGGCACCCAAGTTGGGACAGGCCATTCCCTGCTGACAGATTAAGCCACCGAAGGTAACTTTGTGTTTTGACACACGGCCTCGTTTTCTTTGATCTGCCGCAATGTGGGATGGCCATTGTGCATTGAAACCGCAAAATCATTCAATCACCTGAAAGCAAACAGAGGCTCCCATGTGGCGGTTTCTAAAATTGGGGACCACGCACGTGCAATTGGAGGGGTTTTCGTGGCAGGCGAGCTGCAGAGCCTCATCCGTGTGGCCGCCAGCATCCGCGGCCACAAAAAGAAGGTCCCTGGCCCGAAGCTGGTCGAGGCGCGGTTCGCGGGATGGGCAGAAAGTGGCGGGGAACGCCAAGCCGCCGCAGGAGGTCAGACCAGCGGCAGAGCACCAAATGAAGGGAACCAGCGAACAGAAGAAGCGGGACCACCGAACCCGGGTTTGGTCAAGCTGAGGGTAAAGGAAGCTGTTAGTCAATCATGTCTACTGGTGCCTGCGGGTTTTGGTCAAAATTCAGGCACTCCTTTCGACCTGAAGCCAACTGTTTGAGGGGAGCTGTGGACAGTTCCGGATTTAGCTGTGAGCCAATAAGCTATGATGGCAAGTCGGGTCTTGTTGTGGCGCCGCAGGCTGAGCAGCGACCTGAGAGGTCAGACGCTTGCAACCAGCGCCTGGGCAGGAAGAAGAAGAGGCTCCTTTGCAACGTTTTTGCGTATTGGTATGCGTGTTTTGTTGAGGGTACCCTTTTCACCTTGGCTTCAAAGGGAAACCAAAAGGAACATTACAATTTGTGGCGTCCGCCTATTTTGACACATACCCATATTAATCCTACTCGTTTGTTCTGTGTGGAAGCCCTCAAATGCACCAAAGTACATTCACGGGTTAAGCCGTCGCAGCAAGGTTTGTTGGCCACCTAGAGAGCTGAAATGCAAACCCAAGCGGCAAATTTCCAGCACCACTTCCTGGTGCTGAAACCAGGGATGGCTCAGGGCTTGGGGCGCCTGTGGTATGCATCATGGAAAATTGTTGCCCAGCCGTTGGGGAAACAGAGAAAGGGGTACAAGCCCACGCTGTGTAGCTTACCGAGCATGGGTGCGAAATTCGGGTTCCCCAACGTAGCAGCGATGGGCTAACAAGAAGTTTTGCGAGAAGTACGGCAGTCCAGTTTCTCTCCCCCCCCCCCCACATAGTCTAAGTGCCCTGTTTTGTTGCGGCCAAGTCGAATCGATGTCACTTGACTTGTCACTGGTAGGCATGTGCAACAAGGAGTCCTCATCAGTCACCTATGGTTTCCCATGCGATCAAGGCCTGCTTTGAATGGCTGATGCTATAGTTGATTGAAGCATAGTATCCGTTGGCCCGCTGGTAGAGGCCCACGTGAAGACTGCCCTGAGGATCTCTCACCTCCTTCGAGTTCACGCACGCTGAGGGTCAAACACCCCCAGACCTCGATGGATCCCCGGACTTCAACGCTGTCGGTGCCCTCGGTGCCGCCCCGCTTTCTCCACACTGGATGCTGGTGGCTGAATGATTGATAGGTCGCTTCGTCTAACCGTTCTCGCTGAACATGACTGCGATGCAAATGAGGATGGCCAGGGGCAATTTCTCCCCGAGCTCGTGGCTGCCAAACCTCGTTGCGGTGGCCTCCCAACACCAAAGTGAACTTCGACTGTGGAAAGCTTTGCGAGACAACGTGGCGCAGAATGCTGCCGCTTGGTGAGGTCAGTCCTCGTGCTTTAACCTTAGCGTTGGAGAGCAGGCTGCGCAGTGATGCGCCCAGTCTGGCCAAAGCGGCAACTCGCGCTTTGTCGCATTATGGACACGCAGAGATGACTTATCGTGAGCAGGTGTGCCTTCCTGTCTCCCCACACCCAGGCTGCCATTGACCCTGATATCAGGTAGGCAAGAGCTCACCCATGCTGGATTTTGTCCAAGTCTGTTCAAGAACCAAAATATTTCCTGCGTGACGAAGTAACAAATATAGCCGGGGACCGTGCTTGGAGCCACGCAGGACTGCTCGCTGCGGGGCAGAAGATCGGATAGTGCAGACTTGTTCGTCAACGCTGGATCATGCCTAAACCATTTGAGTCCGCGTCAAAGCTTCCTCATCTCTGCCAACCATAGGATCGACTTGAGTGGCATTTACAATCGAACAGCTTAAGCCAGCGGGCGAAAGCAGTACAAGCTTTAGCCAGCAGGCTAAAGCAGTACAATATTTTGCGCCTGGCTGCCAATAGGGTGTGACCAATGGTTTGCAGTGAGGCAATGGTCCCAGCTTGACCTGCAATGTGCGGAAGAGACGTGAAAAGAGGAAGTGGCCTTTGATTAGTTGGGTTACAACCCGGCTTCTTGTAAGACAATCAGCGATCCGGGAAGGGACAAAACCAAAGCAACATTTCAGCTTGCTGCGGGGCAGAAGATCGGATAGCGCAGACTCATTTCTTAACGCTGGATCATTTGCAATCACAACGTGGCGCAGAATGCTTCAACTTTAGCGTTGGAGAGCAGTCTGCGCAGTGATGCGCCCAGTCTGACAGTCTGACCCGCGCTTTGTCGCATTATGGACCTGCAGAGATGACTTCTCGTGAGCAGGTGTGCCTTCTTGTCTCCCCACACCCAGGCTGGCATTGATTTGTTGTGCCGACACGCAGCTCGCGCAGGCCGTCACGCATGGTACACGTTGAATTATCCTTCCTTGCAACGGGTTTTTTTTAGGAGGCTTTGCATGTCAGAACTCCGGCCTTCTTGGGCCCTCTTGCACTGTGGAAGCCTCCGAGGTCTGAAATATCGGGCCTGCCAAAAGCCCAAAGTCAACCTCCTCGCTGAGGGGCAAGGCGTTCTTTGTGCAAGGTGCCCACGGCGTGCTCAGCACACAAGGTCGGATTGTGACGACTTTTTGTCTGCGCTGGGTCGCGCAAGTTGCGTGCCAGAGTCGGAACAGCTGTGAACTGAGCATGTGGTGAGCAGCGATCACCGTGTCGGCGAACCAAGGCTGGCTGCGGCGTTGTGGGTGCCTTGTAAGGCCCCAGCCCATGGCGCTTTGACCCTGATATCAGGCCAGGAGCTCACCCATGCTGGATTTGACGGCCGTCAGCTTGGCCCCGTCTGCTGCTTTCCCAGATACTGTGCATTTTGTTTGCGGGGTAAGGCCGTTGACAGTCTGATTGCGTGATGCCCCAGTCGCCTGTCAAGCTTGACGGCGACGTAATCCAATCAATCGAAGATTTGTAGCCGCCAACTGCGACAGTGCTTAGAGCAAATTTCATGATCCAGAATGGAGGGCCACCAAGAAGGTACCCAGGGTGGGGCGGGGCTGGAGTAAGATGAATAGGCTTCAGGGAATAGGTGTGGGGTGGGGTGGGGGGTTGTTCTCAGGGCTCCTTCACAAATCAATGAGTGGTGGGTAGAGGGGGCGAGTCAGGCAGTGATTACGCTCGCAAGGATGCGTGTCAGACTTCGGGCCCCAAAAGCTTGAACCAATGAGCAAACACACCACGCACAAAAAAACAGGCCGAGAAGCAGGAGCTCATTTTGCGCCAACTGTCACTTTGCCCTTCGTCTTTGGCTTTGCGCGATGCCGGTCCAAGTCTGATCAAGAACCAAAGCAAATAACAAGCAGCAGCCGACCCACAACAATCCTATTTCCTGCGTGAAGATGTAACAAATATAGGCGGGGGCCGTGCTTGGAGCCACGCAGGACTGCTCGCTGCCGGGCAGAAGATCGGATAGTGCAGACTTGTTCGTCAACGCTGGATCATGCCTAAACCATGTGAGTCCGCGTCAAAGCTTCCTCATCTCTGCCAACCATAGGATCGACTCGAGTGGCATTTACAATCGAACAGGCTAAAACAGTACAAGCTTTAGCCAGCGGGCTAAAGCAGTACAATATTTTGCGCCTGGCAGCCAAAGCGCCGATCCGGGAAGGGACAGAACCAATGCAACTTTTCAGCTTGACAGTCGACATTTCAGGCAAAGCCACAAGGTCAAAGTCAAAACTGCTTGCTGCGGGGCAGAAGATCGGACAGTGCAGACTTGTTTCTTAACGCTCGATCATTTGGAATCGCTTTGCTTGTCACAAGCTTTTGCGCCTGGCTGGTCTTTCCATTTGCAGAGAGGCAGTGATGTCAAGGTCCCAGCTTGACCTGCAATGTGCAACGTTTCCCGGAAGAGACGTGAAAAGAGGAAGTGGCCTTTGACTAGTTGGGTACAACCCCGCTTCTTGTAAGACAATCAGCGATCCGGGAAGGGACACAACCAAAGCAACCTTTCAGCTTGACAGTCGTCATTTCAGGCAAAGCCAGCAGAAGATCGAATAGCGCAGAGCGTTTGTGGCTTTTGATTAGTTGCGTTACAACCCTGCTTCTTGTAAGACAATCACCGGTGTGGGAAGGGACAAAACCAAAGCAACCTTTCAGCTTGACAGTCGACATTTCAGGCAAAGCCATAAGATCAAAGTCAAAACTGCTCGCTGCGGGGCAGAAGATCGGATAGTGCAGACTTGTTTGTCACCATGTGAGCGTCAAAGCCGCCTCATTTCTACCAACCATTTGGAACGACCCTTCCATCGGATGTGAAGAAACCACAATTTTTCATTGAACCCGATTCCAACAGCTCTGATCAACAACACATGGAGTTCTACGCTTGCAGACCAGATCACCTCAATACAACACAGGAATTATATTTTGATGGATAGCCCACTACATGCTCATCTTCCTCCGAGTTCCTCCTGTGCGCGGCCTTTGCAATCACTTTGCTTCTCCCGCACAGCTTAAGACCAGCGGGCTAAAACAGTACAAGCTTACGCGCCAAGGCATTCTCTGCGCAAGGTGTGTGATTCGGTTGGGCCTTCAACTTGGCCCTGGGTCGCGCAGGGCTTGGTGTGGCATAGTCGTGTTTCCCTTCCAAATAGGCGACATGAGAGAGTAATCGCTGTCTTACATGGGGACTGACCGCCTCCAAAGCGCTGCGATGTCGCATTTGCTCAAATCAATTCAGTCAAACTGCGCCTTGTTATTCAACATTTGTTATTTTGGCTGAGCACCTGTCCGCCAAGAGAGGCCTTCCGTAGGCACTTTGAATCCAAAACGCCACAACGATGCAGGCTGGCGTTGAATTTTTCGGCCGACGCGCAGCTCGCGCAGGCCGTCACGCATGGTACGCGTTGAATTGTGTTTCAATCTTTCAGCCGACGCCTTCCTTGCAACTGGTCTTTTTGGGAGGCTTTGCATTTCAGAACTCCAGCGTTCTTGGGCCCTCTTGCACTGTGGGAGGTCTGAAATATCGGGCCTGCCAAAAGCCCAAAGTCAACCTCCTCGCTGAGGGGCAAGGCGTTCTTTGTGCAAGGTGTGTGATTCAGCCCACGGCATGTTCAGCGCAGAAGGTCGGATTTTGACGACTTTTTGTCTGCGCTGGGTCGCGCAAGTTGCGTGCCAGAGTCGGTACAGCTGTGAACTGAGCATGTGGTGAGCAGCGATCACCGTGTCGGCGAACCAAGGCTGGCTGCGGCGTTGTGGGTGCCTTGTAAGGCCCCAGCCCATGCCGCGTCGACCCTGATATCAGGCAGGCAGGAGCTCACCCATGCTGGAGTTGACGGCCGTCAGCTCGGTGCCATCTCCCGTTTTCCGCCATACTGCTCATTTGTTTGGGGGTAAGGCTGTTGACAATTTGATTTCGTGATGCCCCTGTCGCCTGTCAAGCTTGACGGCGGCGTAATCCAATCAATCGAAGATTTGTAGCCGCCAACTGCGACAGTGCTTAGAGCAAATTTCATGAACCAGAATGGAGGACCACCAAGAGGGTACCCGCCAAAACAGCTAGAACTGTCGCTTTGCCTTTCGCTCTTTGGCTTTGCGCGATGCCGGTCCAAGTCTGTTCAAGAATCAAAGCAAATAAAAAGCAGCAGCCGACCCACAACAATCCTATTTCCTGCGGGACAATGTAACACATATAGCCGGGGATCGTGCTCGGAGCCACGCGTGTAAACACTTACTGCAACTTGGCTTTGTGATTCCAAACGCATGGGAAGCCCAAGAGGCTGCAACGCAGTCCGGCAAGCTGGCCAGGTGAAGCATTCCACCTGAGTGGCGTTGTTTTTTCCCGCTCAAGCAAACATGTCTAGAGGTGGACATATCAACAAAAAAGGTAGCGCCACACTGCAACTGCGGAAGGTTCGCGGAAGGTTTGCGGAAGGTGTTTTTTTCGTGGAAGCTCGCGGAAGGGACGTGGTTGATTTGCTCTTTCCAGCATTCAATTTGCTTTGTCCAGAATTACTAGCACATCGTGCGCTACCTTCCTCAATTTGCAGAAGCAAATTGCGGGCCGCGGAAGGCCCGCGGAAACACTTATATAGAAACATTCTCACGGAAGGTACCCTTTACACTGCGGAAGGTTTGCGGAAGGTTTCGTGGAAGGGACTTATACTTCCATTCAAAGTTAAAGGGAATAAACACCACTACTCACAATGAGTTTGTGAGCTGGGACCTTCCAAGACCCTCTCCTGGTGGCCTTCTGGTTCAAAGCCGAGGCCTTTCT